ATGCAACACGCCTGAGATCCGGCTGGCTCTCTGAGTCAGAGATACTTAGATGCTGCTCTGCGCACAGGACTGCCTGCCTACTTGTGGAAGGCAATTTTGTTGTGGCCGTATGTGTGCGCGCGCACTTGTGAGTGTGTGTGCGTGTGCGTGTGTGTCTTGGCCTGTCTGTAGTGGCTTTAGCCTTAGCAACCTCACAGCCAACTAAGGCCATCAGCAGGGGGCTCGCTTAGAGGCCAGGCGAGCAGTGCGCCCCCCTCTCCCCACCCACAGGGCCTCCATGTGTATGTGCCCGCAAACAGCTGGTTCAGCTTTGAGTGTGCACAGACGCTTCTCCACTGTGTGAACACGTGGGGGTTTCTCGTGCGTCAGGCTGGAGTGAAGAAAGGGAGAAGGCAGGGTGGTCGTGGACTACTGAGGCTGAGAAATGATGTCCTGTGTCTACACAGAGTGCAGTAAGATTAGTATCTGCATACACCATACCCTCTGATATAGTAGCAGCCAAGCCAAACCCACAATTACTTCCCCGTTGGCTCACAAAGCAGTGGTTCCTTTCTCTCCTGTTTTCCTTTTATTATTTTTTATAGAGCGCTATTATAATGGCAACAGATCTCATTTCACCACTTATATTTCATTTCAGGAGCTTGTGAGCACATAAAGGCTGAGGTTTTGTAGAATTCCATTGTTTGGTGAGGAACAGAGTTCCTCCCTCCTCCCAAAGCACTTGGTCTTTTCCTCCTACGGGTAATGGATGGATAGGGGCAAGACCGTATTCTATCCAGAAGGAGCTGGGTCAGATTCAGGCAAGACCCAAGCTATAGAGTGTCCCTGTCCTTGGGGGTCTCTGCTGAAGAGCAATGAGGGGCCGCAAAGCGAACAGCACGCATGTTGCAGCCAAAGTCCAGTTTTTGACTGAGGTAAATTCTCCTTGAACTTGACTTCAAGAGGTGCGTGTGCCGCATAAAAGTCCACCACATGAAAGCTCAGAGCTATGACAATTAGAAGAGACTGCTGAGCTGGGGGCCAGGAGGTACACTTCTTTTCTTGCTTCTGTCTCTAACTCCCTGGCACACCTGGCCTGAGGCTTCTGGCTCGGGGGAGCTGGTGGGGAGGTGGTGGCTGCCTCTGGAAAGCTGCTGGGAGATGGAGTGTTCAGGAGCTACACCCCTGTCCCTGGTGCTCACGCCTTCCTCTATAGCGTCTCTGCCATGAAACCTGCGGGGCAGGACCCCTGTCTCCACAACTCTGCCCCTGCCCCTGACATCTCAGGTAGGGCTGGTACAGCCAGGTGCCCATTCAAGGTCTCCAGAATGAAAGCAGAGTGAATGCAAGAGTCAGGTCCTCTTGTATTGAGCTGGAACTGACGTGTGTAAGTAACACTCAGTGAGTCAGCAAACCCGGCAGGTCCGATCCTCAGCCATCTTCTATCTGCTGGTCGGGCCTCTAGATGAAATAAGCCTTAGCTACGCTGATGGATTTTGAGTATCCCCTTCCTCCACACCCCTTCAGGCAGCCTGCCATGCCCTGAAGAGCAGACTCTGCCTGGCCACCCACCTGTCAGTACTCTGCTAGGTCCCAGTGAACTACGGATCTGATGTACCATCCCCTCTACCACTTCCCATCTAGCCAGGCCGAGCCCCTTAGTGACAAGGAACTGACCACCCCAGGGGAACCTCGGTTTGGAGGTCCTAAAGGAATGGCTCCACCAACCACTGAGCAGCACAGGGTCTGGGAGCACCAGGTATGGCCAAGTTTCCTGTGTCCATCTGGCCAAGGCATCACACCCAGCGACTTAACCCAACACTAATCCAGGTGTTGCTGTGAGGATTTTGCACAGATGCTGTTAACATCTATCATCCATTGACATTAAATAAAGGCAATCATCCTTAATACTGTGGGTGGGCCTCGTCTAATCCGGTGAAGGTCCAAAGAGCAAACACTGAGCCCTCCCTAAGGAAGAGAAAGACTGCAGCATCAACTCCTACCTGAGTTTTCAGCCTGCCAGCTTGCCCTGCAGACCTCAGACTTGACAGCCCACACAACTGCCAGAGCCAATTCCTTAAAATAAGTGTCTAGCCTATCGGGTGTTTCTCTGGAGAACCCAATGGACACACCAGGCCGGCCCCACTCAACTCTGGCAGACAGCCGAGCTCTGGCAAGGGAGGGCAGGAGCCCTGGATCTGTCTCTACTACAGAGAGGATCCATGCATGTCACCCTCCTGTCTCTTGGGGGTGGGTAACGATGACACTTGGTTACCAGCTGACATCTGCCTCAGAGCTCAACTCCACAAAGCCTCGGAGGTTCCTGAGGACCCTCCCCCCCATTTCATACCAGGCCTGCCATTTTCCATCAAGGAAGCATATGGCCCTTGATCAAAGGTAGATGGAGTCAGCTGTGCCCTCTTCACGGACAGCACCTGCCAAACATACCACCGTGGATCCAAGAGGAAGACAAAGATTAGGAGACTGACTTCCCTCGGTGTCCACCACCAAAACACGTCACAGTTTGCTTCAAAAGCTGGAACTGCTTTTGAAACTCCTGTGATGGGAACGTTCGGAGCAATCCTAGAATTCTGTGAGGGCCTAAGAAAGGAAGGTAGTAAGGTGTCCATTGTTCCCTCACAAGAAAACTGATAAGTTCCTCCAAAAACAATTGCATTTCCCAGAAAAGTGACCCACTTTTGCACTAAAGAGGAAGGGCCAAAGGGCCTGTCCCCATCAGCCGGGCTGAGGGATGTGGGAGAAGCTTCCTGGGAGCCCTGTCCTTCTTGCGGACCCAGCCCCTTGGCCAGGCTTGGCATTCCTGTCCCGAATCCCTGTGGGGACCTCCTCAGGCTGGAAAGGCTGGCTCACAGCCCCATCCAGGTGGCAAGTGGACTCTGGCTACTGATGGGAAAAGAAATGGTGTCCACTTCTCCTGCAAGACAGCAGGCTTCTCCTATTTACATGCAGGGAGAGCACCACGGAAACAAGGGAAGGTTTTGTTTCTGTGACACCAGCCTCACCTCCTTGCTCTGTCTCCTTCTGAGGCTGCTAAATCCAGGCTGGCAATTCCTGGAGCTGGTCATAGGCCAGGCTCCAGAAACAAGGGCCAGGGCACGGCTCACTCTGCTCATGGCTGGCTGGAAATCACCTCAGTGCCCTTTGTCTGAAGTCTTCTCTCCCACTCTCTCCCACAGGCAAGGTCTCTCTAATACACACACACACACACACACACACACACACAGACGCGCGCGCTGATGTATTCTGGGCAGCTAGCCTTGGAAGAAGTGCTAAGTACTCTCAGTGCTCACAGCACGACGACCAGTTAACGAGCCGTGGAAACATTCTATTGGATGGATAGGTTTACCTGTGAAATATGGACATGTAACCATCCACTGGCTGGGACGTGGCTATCCTGGACCCTTTGATAGCATTTTCTACCAAGGTCCTTCCGTCCTCTGGGGACTCTAGGAATTACCGCCTTGCTGGGCCTGCCTTGGCTTGAAATCCATTTAAAGGACCGGCATCATAGCAAGATTCAACACCAGGGTTACCGTTCCCATTTTCCAGAAGCAGCCAGATGCACCAAGGGCATGGACTTCTCAGAGCCAGGGAAAGCTCTAGTATCTGCGGTCTCCCTGTTTGGCACGTCAACCTCACCTCAACGTTCCCGCTAAGGGACTGTGACTTGGCACCTTCATCAACTACAAGTTGACACAATGGTTTCCAGCGCTTATAAAACATGACAATTATAAAAAGCGCATTTAGCATTAGATATATATGTAGCAAAAGGGGCCTATTATAGTTGCAACAGAGTGGAAAATGCACTGGGTGAGGAGTCAAACACCCCTGGTTTGAATCCAGTTGCTTTAAGCTGTGATTCTGACTTAGCCAGAAAATGCTCGAGCCTCAGTTTCCTCTTCCATCAAATGGGGACGAGCATTCCTCACAGGGCTCCTTGGAGGACTGATAGCTCGCTAGATATAACAGGGCTTTGTACATGATTCAGCACTGGCAAGTGTGAGCTGTTCTTATGATCCCACGTCAGACTGTGCAACATTTAAAAGACATTATCCTGGGGCGCCTGGGTGGCTCAGTTGTTTATGCGTCCGACTCTTGATTTCGGCTCAGGTCATGATCTCAGTGTCCTGGGATCAAGCCCCGCCTTGGGCTCTGTGCTCAGCGGGGAGTCTACTTGAGATTCTCTTTCTCCTTACCCCCTCCCCCTCCCCCTGCTCATGCTTTCTCTCTGTCTCTCTAAAATGAATAAATACATTTTTTTTTAAAAAAGAAAGAAATTATCCTTTCTTTGTCCTGAGATTTTACATTCTTTCTGGATATATCTGGGGTATTATATCATAATTAAAATCAACTTTACTTTTCAAACCCACAGCTGATGAAATGCTTTTGAGCGAGAGACTCAGAGACTATTCTGCATTTGATAACACATTCTGTTGTGACCGGCATATCATGACAAACTCAGGAAAGTTAATACTTAGGCATGCCATCAGAGCAGGGTTGTAAGCGTAAGTAAAGATGAGAAGAAACAGCGTGGTGCATTAAGAGAAGGGGACAGAGGAGGGAGGAGTGGGGGGGGGTTGGAGGCCATATGAAGTAGACCCGTTAGCGAAGTCATACAGCTTGGACATATGCTGCATTGCCTGGTCACTAGTTGACACTCTCCCTCCATAAAAACATAAGACAGCATTATTTTCCAGGCAATAAAAACCTCAGAGATGAATTCTGCCATATGTGGGCACAGCCCCCCTCCCTTGTGCCTGGGAAATAGAATCGAACACATCTTCAAAGAGAGTTCTCGGTAAATATACCGAGGTTTTACAACCTCTATCCTCAATGCAAACCACTGGAGAACACATTTTCTCAGCATTGCCCAATGTTATCATTCTATGGCCTTGCTTTCCGAAACACTCCTTGGAGGAGCGTGACTCATTTCCATTTGGCCTGATCAAGGGATAGGAAAACCAGAAGTCCTGGAGAAGAGGAGTCAGGGGTCTCCTTACCTTGAGCCGTTCACCTGGTTAGGGTTACATTCCATCTTGATGGTGACCCTGGCTGGGGGTTGAGACAGCCAGTCCTGCTGAGGGACACGTGGGCTCATCTTGGATGTCTGTCCATAGTCGCCGGAGGAGGACGCGGTCATGTCTGTCTTGGCCAGGTGTGGCGTCCCGTAGGCACACTCAAACAATGACTGGTCCTCGCTCACAACTGATAACGCTTCCTGAATGCCCAAAGAAACACACATTCAGGACACGCTGAAGGACAGTCATGTTTCAAAGAGCTGCTGACTTTAGAGTCATTTCTAACTGGGGGCCACAGTTTAGGGAGCTTTCATGGTATATCCAGTTCTATGTCTGAGGAGAAAAAAGTAGCTGGTTTTCTTCCCTCCAGACTCTAACAGTTGGAACCAGCCGGCCCAGAAAAACTTTCCTGCGGGTCTCCGAGCATCTCCGGCTTGACTGCAGCAGTGCAGATAATACCCACTTTAATCTCAACTCAAGGAAGTTGAATTTCAAAGGTCTTAGAAGACATCCAATTGCATGTGTCATTATTTGACAAATGCAATCTATAATTCAAGCAGACAGGGTACAGAATGGTCATGGAGATTAAAAAAAGAAATGGGATGGGTAACACCTAAGAGTCTGGCAAAAGAGCCACATTCCCAGGAGATTTAAAAGAAGACGCACTTAGAAGAAGAGGAGTAAGGGGGACGTGGAGCCCCGGAGGACAAACGTACAAAGATACGAATTTTTCCACTTCGAAGTTATTAGCTGAAATAGAGTTTCAAGCGGTACGTCCATGATGGCGAACATCTGGATGATAAATGAACCAGGAAGAAAAAAAAAAAAAAAAGCTGTGAATTATCCAGATGCCTCCAAATACCAGGATGTTTAAAATATCAGGATCACTGACTAGCTCTTTTTCTCCTTTATTTTCTGTTCATATCTTTGGTCCTTTGCATGATTTGGTAAAAAGAAAACAGAGATTCCTCATTGTTGTATCATCAATTCTTCTGGGGCTTTAAGTCGCACAAGTGGTTAGCCTATGGCTACACTTACATATTTTATGTCCAAATCAGCAAAGGCAAATTAGATTTGCAAATTTCAACGACTTCAATGATATACCAGTGTAGCAGAAGAACTATAAGACGATCCAATTTTGGTTTCTATCACAGAAAAAAAAAAAAACCCGTGTGATAGATCATTTTTATTTTATCCCTTTGGCATCCTCAGTATGGCTACTAACTGGTGAGAAGCAAATGCTGCTCAGGTCATACTTTAAAAGAAAATGGAAATTTTGATGCTAGGGGAGGGAGGGTACTGTGGAGAACTTCAGTCCAAACTTCTCATCCCCAAATGAGAAAATGTGAGCTCCAGAAAGGTCCAGGACTCACCTTAAAGTGAGCTGTGGAATTAGGGACACGTCGGACTGGTGTTTTATCACTCACTCCCTCAGACCACGAAGGTGCCTTTCTTACATTTCTTGGTTTGGGATATTGTTACATTAGCACTCCCTTCTTCTTCTTCAAGTTGATATTTAAATAAATAAGGACGCTCCCTGTTAGTCACAGAGCCTTACGAAGCAGCCTCTCTAAGATACAGACCTCCCTCCTTACCCAGAAGTAGCAGGATCCTTAGGGAACACATGCAATTTCACAAAAGACCCCTCCAAACCCGGTGTGTACTCTGCCACTTGGTCCCCCACCTACTCAAGGACTAACTTCACAAGTACGTGAACTTCATTACCAGACGCCTTGCGCTGAGAATCAGTGAGTAGGAAGAACCACAAGGCACAAACAGGGCTCTGGCCCCCAGAGTGGTGGCCAGGTGCCTGTGCATACATAACACCCCACCACCCCCAACTTCTTAAAAATCCCTTGAATCACAGCGTGGGACACTTGGGGCAAGAGTGAGCTGACGGTTGAAACGGTAACACAAAACATACAAAAGGATAGGTTGTGCCAGCCAGACAGCCAGAATCAGATGCAAGGAAGGAAAAAAAAAAAAAAAAAAACTAAGGCATCTTTGAATACAGGGCAAAACCAAACACAGCAACCACAGAGAGCAACACCGAAGCTCAGTGTGTAGCAATGGGCACGGGAGACGTCAGGACAACATGAAGACATGGCTCTCTCCCCCGGGCACAAGGGGAGGGAAGGAATCTGAGGAATCTAAACTTCCAGACGTGGGTGTAAATGTGAAATCGGCATCACGGCACGGACTTAGTGCAGGAGCGCTCTTTAATAAAGACATAAACCAAAGCTGCTTATATAATGCTTGCAGAACAGAGTCTCCCTTCCCGTAGCAGCGCTGCACAGAGAGGTTTCGCACACTCAGAATGGGAGACAAGGCTGACAGCCGCCCCCCACTCCCGCCTGGTCCCACAGACTCCCAGTCCAGCTCCGAGGGGGATAATACACTACGTCATGTTAGCGTCGGCTCGCCCGTGAAGAGAAACATGAATAAATGTGCGATTGATCTCAGAACTTGGAAGAAACAGGGGAGGTGTGAGGGACAGGCTCAGTTTTAAATTACAAGTGAAAAAAGAAAAAGATTTTCACAACAGGAAGAGTCACGATGTCAAAATATTAGTAGACCTCCCAAGGTAAAGCAGGGTATTCGTGCAAATCCTTCCAGGAACCAAGCAAATGGAGCATGAGGTTTAAAAAGGGGACCAAAATCGTAGAACTAAGACAAGGCTCCGGTATGTGTTTGGAGGGTGAGGAAACCATTCCCACATCTGGCAAAGCATTATTTCAGCACATGGTTTTCTAAAGAAAGAAATCAAAGTTAATTGAGATCGATTTAGGGGGAAAGAAACGTACAAAGCTAAAGATAAGGGAGACACACATCTTTTCTTCATAGCTTAAAATTCTCCTCAAAGGGAACATGGCATAAAAAATGAGAAAGGTGATGTGTGATTCAGAATATCAAAGGTTGCTTTTGTTCACTAGAGGAGAAAGGGCCCACAAAGTGAGGGAGCTTCAGGTTAAACATTCTCAAGAAGAGTGAAAGATAATCCACATTGTGGAAAGATAGAGCAATTAAAAAAAAAAAAAGCATGCCCCAAAGTGATTATAACTAACCCAAGAATGCTGAACACCTAGAATTAAGGTTCAGGTCAGGAAAAGGAAACACACAAAATCAGTCTCTCTCTCTCTCTCTCTCTCTCTCTCTCTCACACACACACACACACACACACACACACGCGTGCGCGCACGTGCCCATGTAGCCCATTTTAACAATGCGGGGAATAAAAAGAAGCCGGAGGGGAGGGTGATTTTCAGAGACCTACTTCAATAGGATAATCACTAGAATTAACCGCTGCTCTTCAGAAGCAAGCAAGCAGTAGACGCCACAGAGCAGCAGAATCTCTTTGTTCATCCATTAGACTTAGCTATAATACGAGACGCGGGCTTCATCATCCCTTTGGTTCGATACGAATGACAAAGCCTACTGCATAGGATTCTCCCACCCCGGCAGCTCTGGGACTTCAAAGCGGGAGAGAATCTCGCCCTGTAGGATTAAAACCAGAACGGAGCTCTGAACGCAAGCTGGTAACCAGGAACACATGAATCCCTCATCTCCAGCTCAGCAAGGGACTTCTGGCCTTGACTGACGCTGTCCCTACTTCCCTGCCTGCCGCCTGGCTTCCCTCCTCATCCGTGGCCACCTCACCTACCTACCTGCCTACCTGCCAAGGTGCTGGCTGATGCCTGAGTTAACATGTATAGGTTATGCTCTCAGAACCTTCGGCCAGGCGCGGGACTGGGGAAACTGCTTTGGTTGCTTTATAGCAGAGAACTCAAAAAAAAAAAAAAAAAAAAAAGTCAAAACCTGGCAGGAATGTGGCATCATAATTTAATATGCCTGCCTCTATGTTACTATAAAAAGACCTGAACTTTAGATTGGTGTGTGCTAGTGTGTGGGCATGTTTTTTTCTGTAGCTCCTGGAAAGTTGGGATAGTCCGATGTGGCAAGTGGCAGACTACCAATGTCATTTTTTATGAACTTATGAGACACACATAAATTCTAAGCAAATTGCCCCCAAACTAAAGGTGCTGATGTGTTACTGCTAGAGTGTTTATTATTTCATATGAATACTGAATACACCAATAACATACGAGGACCATTCTTTTGGATCTTGGTCATGCGACAACCGTCGACGGATAGTTCCAGAAAGTGGGGGAGTTCTCAGCTGGATGGTATTCCATAATGTGAGACAAAAATTTGATTTATTTTCAAGGAACTAGTTGTGGGTATAGCAGAGGATCCAAATGCTGAGATTAAAAAGATAGTAATAAAAAGGCGAATGCACTTTGTAAGCACACTGACGTTTTCGGCAAAAGATGTCAGGGATCCTGAAGCAGATGAATTCCTTTCTGTAACAGATGAATATTTTTGAGAGGCTCCTATATTTCAAGGAAAAGAATTAGAAAAATGGGGTCTGGGCTCCTATTTGCTTCTAATTCGTGATCCCCCATGGTTAAAAGTACTATATTGCTAATCCAGAGAACCCAACGTACTTAGATTTCCCTGAAAACCGGGCTTGATGTGGAAGCGAGTCTCAGAATGATCAGCTCTTTCACAGCTGGAGCCAAGTGAAGCCCACAGAGGGACACAGTCCTTCCATGGTTTTCAAAAATTCAGAAGACAGCCAGAACTCAACGTCTACAGAACTGGATTCCCAAACCCATCTCCAGCTTCCTTAAGTGTCATGCGCCTCCAATAGCTAGGAAAACAAGTGGAAAAACTAAATGGAACAAGCACGCTGAGTAAGATGATGGTCATGCTTTAGAAAACATTCTTAAAGAAGTCCTCGTTGTCACAACACAGTGTCCACTCCAGGAAGCCCGTGTCATCTGAAATCAGGAGCCTGCCTCTTCCACTGAGCTTCTCAGCACATTAGCACCCAACACAAAACTCTTCCTTAAACTTCTCCCACACAGAGCCAAGGAGAATTTGGTGCATCACATAACTCCACACGCTGCCATGAGTAAGAGATCTTTTAGCCACTTTCTCTGGACTCACAAACAGCTGATCCATCACAGAACACCCAGGTTTCCCTGTTAATGAAGTGCTTTGCATGCATTTCTTTTTAAAGCCTATGTCACTGACTTTAAGATACACCATTTTTCAGTTTCCCAGCTCTGAAATCTGGATGCATCTTACAGTCAATGGTGTGCCATACTTTATGGGCAGCACGTCTTCCTCCTTGGTG